CCCAGAACAACGGCCGCTGTGGCAGTGACTGCAACGCACCCCCAGACCCTCCAGCAGTGGCACCCTCGACCCCACCAACAAGAGGACCCTCATCACCCCCAAAGTCAGCACCCCGAGAACCAGTACCCCCAGCGTCACCACCCCCAACAGCATCAGGGCCCCCGGAGTCCACAGTGACAGGCTGCAAAGGAGGGGAAGACGTCCGAGGCGGAAAACCCGGAGGTGTCTCCAAGCGCGGCGAGCAGGGAGAGGCCGCGGTGTCGTCAGCAGCAGGGTCACCCCCCTCAGCCGGGCCAGAGGAGTCTGAGGAGACCTCCAAAGGCACAACCGAGGGGAGTGGGGTGACGTGCGACACACCGGAGCGAGCAGGACAGGGGGGGAGGGGGTCTACCTGGGGAGGACTAGGTACCAGGAAGAGAGGCGGGGGGGGCACGGGGCAACTGCGGTGGGGGTAGAGACGGTAGTAGCAGACCGACTCGTCAAAGGTGACGTCTCGGGAGGACAGGACACGGCGGGTGGTTGGGTGTTAAAACTACCTGTCAGGGGAGATGCAGCGAACAGTGTGGGGAGAGAGCTTGTACGCAGTGGGATCGCGGACAAGGGCAAGCGATCCCCAGACCCGAAACGGCGACGCATCACCCACCTCCCCCGTCCAGAGGAGGGTAGCGAGACCTCTGGCTGTGAAACACGCGGCCAGAGGTTGAGCTGATGTGCGGCGTATCGGACCGCAAACGGCCACAGGAAATGGGGAGCAGTCGCATCGATCATGAAGGTGCAGGCAACCTCCATGAGTAGGCCAATGCGGCGCTCAGCAATCCCATTTTTTGGGGGAGAGGCCGAAAGCGTGAACGGATGGGTGATGCCCTCCTCCACAAATTCCTCAAGGAGAATAGAGGAAAACTCACCTCCACAGTCAGAGTGCAGACGAAGCACCAGGAGGTCGAGCTGAAAACGAGCTCGCTGCTGGAGACGAACAGCACGGATTCAAGGGATCAAAACACCACGGACGTCGGCCTTGTGCTGCAAGGGAAACACCGTGGTGTAGCTTGAGAAGTCATCGACAACCAACAGAAAGTAGGGCTCCCGGTGCAGCCCACGGACGCGGGTGGGGCCCCACACGTCCGTGTGCAACGACTACAGAGGAACAGTGGTCGGAGGAAACGAGGAGGAGTGAGGAGTGGCGCGTTGCCGCCCCTCGGCGCAAGGAGTGCACGGCGGCGCAAGCGACGGCGGGAGCGGGGGCAGGGACTGCGGGAGGCCAAAAACAAGGCGACGCGAGTGCATGTGACGGAGACGCTGAAGGGAGGGGTGACCTAGATGGTGGTGCCAGAAGAGAGACTGGTGCGTGAGCAACCGACACGAGCAAGACGCCGCTACCTGACCTGAGCAGACTCAGTGTGCAGTGTGTACAGTCCAGACCCAGGCCTCCGTGTGAACGTGGCAAGGTGGTCTCCAGTCTCAGTGTCTGTACAGATCGCCACGCGCTTGCCCATAGGGATCGTGGTGGTGACCAACTGATCCAGAAGGTAACCGGTACTCACCAAGTTTGTAGCGAACGAGGGGAGGTGGAGACGTGTGAGGGAGCCAGAGGGGACTACCGGACATGAGAGAACAGTGGAGCTGCGCGAAACGACTGGTCCAGAGGTGGGGTCGGACAAAGTGACAGGGACAGGTGCCGAGAGCGGTGTAATTGTGGTGCAGTCACGGAAGAAGCACCGAATCGCGCCGGAGTCCAGCGTGAACGAGAGCAACGCCTCCGCAGGAACTGCACGTGTGCTAGCTGTCTCACAAGCACCTACGCTGGCATCCAGGCACAAAGGAATAATAGTCACCTTCATCACTACCACCAGCAGCATACACGTCATACATGCCTACAGAAATCTTGTCCCAATATCAATCGAAAAGATATCAACGCCCTTCTTGAGCAATCGTAACCAGTTAGGGACTCGGGACTGCTCATCGAACTCGCCACGAAAAGCGTCCTCGAGGCGGCAGAAACAGTGAGCCTCACCGTGCCCCACTTTGCCGCAGGGATCGCCGGCCCAAGGCCCAGTGCGACGACCGTACGGGCAAGGACCAGTAGCAGGGCGACCACCGCCGGTGGAGCCCGGCTGAGCAACCCACTCACGAAGCTGCTGCGGCGAGAAAGTCTCCTGTCGACGCGGATGCTGCGGCTGCTGCTGCAATCCACCCCCATAACTGCCACCTCCACCTGCTGCTCCACCAGACGCAACTCCACCAAACGCCGTACCGGTGCCACCACCCCCGCTAGCTCCACCACGACCACCACCCCCACCTCCTCCACCACTCCCGTCACCCCCGTCGCCTCCACCACCCCCGCCTCCCCCACCACCTCCGCCACCTCCACCACCCCCACCACCTCCACCCTTCTTGTGCGCACCCCTGTTGCGCCTCCCGCTAGGAGCGGACGCAGCCCTGACCTCCTCAGCACCGAGGAAGTCAACAGCAGCAGCAGAGGCAACAGAGGACGCCAGAAGGGAGGGAGTGCACTCTTGAAAAAAGGAGGTGCTGGGGTTGCCATGGGAGGCAGCGACAGCGCGGGCACTTGTCTCAGCCTCGAGGAGACGAGTCTCAAACGAGGCAAGGTTGAGACTAGCGGGGTCTAGGGAGAGGAAGTGGTCTCGAACAGGTCGAAGGGTGTCAGGGAGGCGAGTCGCGAGGAAGTACAGGGTGAGGGTACATGGGGAGCTGGTTCGTAGCCAGAAACTCTGGCTTGAGGGCAGCACGGTAGCGAGAGTCAAGGGAGCGCACATGGGTCATGCTATCAGCTACAGTGGTGAAGTCAAATAGCTCAGGGAAGAGAAACGGCAGCGCAAGACGGCCTAGGGTGGCAGAAGAGGGGGAGGAGTAGTGCTTAACCACAGCGTCATAGAAGGCCTGGGCCGACGTCACCTGGCGAAAGTGGGCGCTCTGGTCGAGCGAGAGGTAAGCGCGGACTGCAAGCTTGGCAGTGGCAACACACACCGTGCACTTCATGCAGGCAATGCGGTCAGCCCGGTACTGCTTCTGCACATCCCCTGCATCGGTGGCGGAAGGCTCTACTGGAGGCTTGGGGGCCTTGAGGGACCCCGTCGTGTGCTCAAACAGCGAGGCATCATCCTTGGTAACACTCTGCAGGTACAGGTACACGTCCTCTAGCCAGGACTCAAACTCTATAGGGTAGAAGTTAGGTCAGGCAGCAGCACTAGGAACTAGCCGCAGATCTAGGCACGGGCGACGGTTCGGGGTACAGCACGGTAGGAGGTGAGCGGCTCGGCACCAAGCAGAGCGGCAGCGTGGCGCGGTGCGGCAGTAGGGAGAGCGGCGTGGCGCGGCGGTAGGTAGAGCGGCGCGGCGCGGCTCGGCAGGGCAGCGCGGCGCGGTGCGGTAGGAGGCAGGGCGGTGCGCTGGCGGGCAGCGCGGCTGCAGGTGGCTCGGCAGTGGGCGGTCAGTGGGCTGTAGTGGGCCGGTAGCGAGCGGCAGCGCGGGGCGGTGCACGGGCAGCAGGGGGCCAGCGGCGGGCAGCTGGCGGCGGCGGGCGGTGCGTAGGCTGCGGCGCGGGCAGTGGTGTGGCATAGCAGGCTGCAGCGCGGGCGGCAGCGGGTGGTGCGTGGGCTGCAGCGGGCCGGCCAGCGCAGTGGGCAGTGCGGGCTGCAGCACGGCAGTGCAGTGCAGGCGGCGGGGCAGCGCAGCGGGGCAGCGCGGGCGGCTGTGTGGCAGTGCGGGCGGAGGAGCGCGAGGCAGTGCGCGCAGGGCTGCGCTATGTAGCGTGCGCGGGGCAACGCGATCAGGGGCAGCAGCAGCGGCGCGGCGGTAGGCCAGCGGGCGGTAGTGCGCACAGGAGGGCAGTAGCGCGCGCTAAGGCAGCAGCGCATAGAGCAGTAGGGCAGGCGGAACGAACCTACTCGATGATACCATGTTAGAAACTGAAACAAAGGAATGATTGACTAAGGAACAAGGGTGCTACAAATAGGAAACATAAAAAGGTTGTACCTCCTAAAGCTAACCTCACTACAGCCTAGTACACAAGCATACAAATATGTTTGACAAACGCCCCACGTGCCTGATGTGCTTTGAACTGAACGGTGTGAATGACGGTAAACTACTCTTACTGGTATCTGTAATATTGTATGCTTGGCAAAGCATTCCTTATGGATTTCATGTTTACTCTGCGTGAACAGTACAGCCTTGCCAGCCCTCCCTAAAAATAAAGAAACAAACAAATAAAAAATAACCTTGTTCTATACACAAAAACACCCTGAAAATTAGTGAACTCTCACGAAAGCCCTGATTTCGGAGGGAGCACAGCACCTCTTTCTGTGCTACGATACCTTCCCCTCCGCCAGGGCTTTTTTTTGGATTTCCACTACTCGGATTTCCAGAGCTGTTTTCTAGGGAACTCTGAAATTCAGGGTTAATTATGAGCGTTACTCTGATTTGTCAGAGAAAACTTCTGAAAAATATGCTCTGGGCAGTCAGTGTAACTATTTTTCCCATTCTGAATGTCCTCTCAAGTATTGAACCCAGGCCTTCTGCACTCCTACTAAAAAATATAACCGTTGTGCTACGCGCTTACAATTGGCTTTTTGACGGAATTTAGCTAACTGGAATTTGTCGGCCTAACCGAAATGCCTATACCCTGTACAGAGAAAAATACATTCGCCACAAATATGCACTGGTCTCTCAGAGTAGCTAAAATCAGAACCCTGACAAATCAGAGAAAACTTATCTTCCAAAAAAATTACCCAGGCACGTCAGAGTGACCCCCTAAAAACCACTCTGATTTTCAGAGAAACAGAGTAATTTACTCTGATAAAATAACCCCTGCCCTCCGCTCTCACAATACAGTACGGACTTCCATAATTTGAAATCGTTCAATAACATGACCTCTTGTTGTAAGATTGGATTATATGAACAGCATCACACAGATAAGTGTGGTGGTGATGTAACAGGGGCACATGGTCACAGGCAATAGAAGCTTGCAGCCCGTATTTCTCAAGTCAACCATCCCTCACCACTCGCACACTGGCAAAGCCAAAGCTCTTGAGCTCCCTCATGGCCTGCTCCTCTATCTGAATGCTGCGCAGCGACGATGCCCTTACCCCCTCCTCCACCCCCTTGTACCACCGGCTCTCCGCCTCCACTGCAGCAGGGGCAAACCCGCCACCTGTAGTGGTGGTGGCAAGAGCAGCAGCAGCAGACATGCTTCCACCACTGCCAGAGGCACGCGTGCGCGCAGATGAGCCATGGGGAGTGGCGGGTACGGCAGCAGAAGAGGCTGCTGAGAAACGGGTGGGTGAGGGCGTGGGAGCTGGGGAGGACGGGGAGCATGCGACAGGCGCAGAGGCAGCAGGCCGTTGTGGTGCCAGTGCCGCTGCCGGTGTGGCAGCATGGGATGGTGATGCGGAGAGCAGGGCCGTGGTGGGGCTGCCCCATGAGCCGCAGTGCTGCGAGCGACGGCGTGACAGCTCCTGGTGGCGGGCGACAGGCACAACAGGCACAATGGAATTGGGAAGGGCATACATGCATTGGAATAGAAAAGCCACCAGCTAGCACGGCGCAGAACGAAGAAAAGGTACACAAACTTATCATAAACATTGCTGACGTAAGGAAGTGCAAGCCTAGGGCTGCAGGCAAGCACACCTGTTGCTGCTGAATCTCCAGCAGTGAAACAGGCTGACGTGCACCCCCTCCTCCTTGCCCCACCCGCCCACCCCTGCCCAACCCCGTGCCTATGCTTATCCCCTGGCTGCGTGCCACGGGCTCGTGTCCCACCGCACCCTCTCCACCACGCTCCTTGGCCCACGGTGCCACCGGTGCTGCCCTTGCCTTGCCCACGCCCCCACCAGCATCCGTGTGGTGGGCCTTGCGTTGGGTGGACGCCTTGAGAAGCTCCCCCAGAGACACTCTAATCCCCGCTGCCACTCCATCTCCCTCGCCGCCTCTCCACCCCCCTGCCCCCTGTGCCGCGCCTCCGGCCACTCGCTCGTGCACAGCTTGCCCAGGAGATGCGCTGTGAGGAGCAGCCACGGACACGAACCCCAGCAACCCAGATGCACTGCCGTGCTGCCCCTGCTGCCCGCGCCGCGTGCTGCTGCCTGTGGTGGCGCTGCTGCCCACTGCACTCAGTGCATCTGTGCTGGCCATGGAGCTGCCACCGCTGCTGCCACTGCCAGAGCCGGGAGCCGCAGAGGTGCTGTGGCCAAGCGGGCGGGAAATGGACGCACGTGCCGTGTGCAGCGCTGCCTGCCTGCCCTGCCGCTGCTGTGGCTGAGTGTGCGGCTGGCAGTGGAGGTGGTGCTGTTGCTGCTCACTCTGAATGTCACGCAGCGAGCGCGCAGGCGAGGCCGCAGCAGGCACAGGAGGAGCATCGGTTTCTGCAGGAGGCAATGGGTGGCGGGGGATGCCCCATGCAGGCTTGGCGGGCGACAGGGAGGGAGAGGGCCCCGCTGCCCCACGTGCAGCAGCAGGCGTGGCAGGTGTGGGCGAGGTGGTGGCGGCACGCTCCAGGTCACCAGCCAGAAACAGAGACAGCCCACCCTTTCGCCCCTTCTTCCTCGCCCCCTTCTTCCCACTGCCACCACTGCTCGTGCTGGCAGCAGCAGTGGTGTGAGCAGAAGTGCCTGGCAGTGCTGGTGACTGGCAGCGTTGTTCAGGGGATTCACTTGATGCTGGCGCAAAGAGCGCCCCACCAGCGGGCACAACAGCACCTACTGTGGCTGAGCCCCCTGGTGCAGAATGCATGCTGTCAGGTATGGCAACAGGTTTGGAGGAGCCAGGCGAGGCCGATGTTGCACAGGGTGCCTGGTGAAGGGTACGATGGAGGGTACGATGGAGGGTACGATGGAGGGTACGATGGAGGGTACGATGGGTACAGGAGGTGCTAGGAGCATGGAAGCAACAGATGAGGCAGGACAAGGTTAGCCAAGGAAGCATAACAAGGATTCAGCTGGGTACGCGGGATTGAGGAGCTTGGGAATTGAATCAAGAGCACAAGAGAGTAGGAACAATGGAAGCAGACTCACAAGGAATGCACCTCACCTTCTCTTTCTCCTTGGCCTCTGACTGCCTGCTAGAAAATCCCTGCCCTCCTTTTTTCCCACTCTTGCCCTTCCCTGCTGCAGCAGCGTCAGCAGCATTGCTGTGCGTGGCAGCAGGGTGAGCAAGGCCATCATCGTGCACGGCCTCACTGCCACTCCCCCCCACACCACTTCCACCACCCGCACTCGCAGCACCACCACTACCAGCAGCAGCCGAAGCAGCACGCGCGGCAGCAAGAGCAGCAGCAGCAGGCCCACCGCCCTCCAGCACGGCAAGCACCTTGTCCAGCTGCGCCTTGCCCGCCACCTTGGCCCTCTGCTGCACATCCAGCGCCTCGCCCGCCCTCCGCCGCCCCTCCAGCATCTCCACCTGCTGCAGCTTCTTCCGCACTGCCCTCACCTGCCGCGCCACCTCAGCCTCGCCAGCTGCGTCCACGCCTGAGCCAGCGCCGAACCTGGTCGTGATTCCCACATCTGCGTCAAGGCCTGAGGGGATGAGCGAGGCCAAGGGGTAGGCAGAGAGGGAGAGGCCGGTATGGCGCGCCATGTGGAGGGCCGAGGCCAGGTCAGGGGAGGGGGTGGCATGCCATGTGGTGCTGTGCGCGTGGGCAGTGGCATGGGGCGTGGAGTTGAAGGGGTGGGGGTGCAGGTGGTCTTGGTAGGCCAGTTGTGGTTGATGCTGCCCATACTCGTGCATCCCTTGTTGCTGCTCCATGCCCGCCCCCTCGTAGCCCTCCTCCTCCTCGTCATCACCCAGCACAGGCTCGTTGGGCGCCGTGGCCGTGGGCAGAGCACGCGAGAGAGGAAGCAGCGGCGGAGCGGGGGGGGCAGAGGAGGAGGCGGAGGAGGAGGAACGGGTGCGGGAGGCGGCTTCAAGGTGTGCGAGAACGTAGGGCGGGCAGAGGGCGAGCTGCTGGGGAGCCACTGTGGCTATGAACGCCAGGTTCGCCAGTGCCAGGTGCTGGGGGGGGAACGGGGGGGCAGGGGGGGGGGGAATGGCCAACGGGGAGGGTACAGCGGGAGAGGGGAGAGCGATGGGGAGGAGTGGAGAGGATGAGCGTGCGGAGAGCGACGTGAGAAGGAAGGCGAAGGTTGATGAAGAGTACGGCAAGCAACTCGTGCGCCACAGCTGCCTTCACGCACCTTCTTCCCCTCCCTCAACTCACCGCCCCTTGCCCCACCCCAACTGCCCACCACATGCACCCAAAGTCGACAACAGCACACACGGCGCACAGCAGTAGGGCGAGCGCACCTGACAGTAGGGTGTGAGGAGGTCTGCTTGCACGGCATCGGCGAGAGCAAGCACGGGCAGCACGTTGCGCACGTCCACCACGTGCGCTGCTATCACCGCCTCACACAGCTGCTTCAATGGCGCCACCCACCCCTGCCCCTCGCCCACCTCCCCACCCCACCCTGCCCCTCCACCTTCTGCCCCTGCTACTGCTGCACTAGCTCCCATACTTTCAACCACCGTTTCCTCCACCTCCCCTGGCCCCCCCACTCCACCCGCCCAGCCTCGCCGCCTCATTCGCCCCCCCAGCTCATGCACTCCCCCCTCCTCGCGCCCCTCCTCATCATCCTCCTCCACGTCCCCCCTGTCCTCCTCACCCACAGCCCTCCCCTTCGCCCCACCTTCTCGCTCGGCTACCCTCCCACCCTCCACCCCTGCATCCCCAGCCGCCCAAGGCACTGCCGCAGGTGGGGCGGCGTGGGGTGGGGAGGGGCGAGGGAGGGGCGGCAGCAGCACGTGCGCGACGGCGAGGGAGTGTAGGTCGCCCACGGCCACAGCGGCCGCCTGGCAGATGCCAGGCACGCGCTGCACCAGGGGGGGCACCGCTCCACCTCCTGCCTCTGCGCCCGCTGTGCTGTAGGCGCCTGAGTCTCCGCCTCCTCCCTCTCCTACTCTCACCCCCCCCGCGCCTCCTCCGGCAACGGCGGCAGCAGGCGCAGGCAGGGGCGTGTCTGTCTGGGAGGCGTCCCACACGTACACACTGCCGCCCGCCGTCACCACGGCCGTGCGCCACTTGCCTGCTGCCACCGCCACCGCTTGCTGCTCCGCTAGCGCCAGCAGCTGCGGCGGGTGCAAACGGGGAGGGTTGGGGATGGCGAGGGCACGGAAGGAAGTGCGTGCAGAGCTGTCGACTTAGGTCCGTCTGGGGCGTTGCATTGCCGGGGCGTTTATCCACGCCAATTGCAGCGGAACGCAGAAGCAGGCACAAATAGCTCACAATAAAGTGGCAGGGGCAGGCAGGGGGTGGGCATGGGGCTGGGCAGGGAGAGCCCTCACCTGGTGGCACTTGAGGAGCGGGTCGTGCGAGCGCCAGTAGAAGACGAGCCCATCCTGTGACAGCACTGTGCTGTGCATGGCGCCCGCTGCCACCGCTGTCAGCTGCACCCGCGCCTGCTGGTGGAACCGAATCACCCCGCCCCCGCCACCAGCAGCCGTGCCGCCCCCTTTGCGCACATCCCTCTCCACCTTCACTCGCCGCGGCGTCACCAGGCGGTGCCCCCACGTGTACGCCTGTGCGGGAGTGCGGGCAACATGGCAAGGGGGCCGATGCATGATGTGGGCACAACAAGGGGATAGGGGAGTGAGGTAGAGCATGGGATGGAGGGACAGGCGTTCAAAGATGGATGGAAAGGGCGAGCGGGGAAAGGAAGAAAGGTGAAAGGAGGCGAAAAAAAAAACGGAGGGTGAGAGTGAGAGTTGTGGGGAAAAGGAGGGAGAGGGGGGGTGTGTGGGGTTGGTTGAAAGGGGGGAGAGAGGGAGGGAGGAAAGTGGTGTAGGCGGGCGAAACGCACCTCCCCATCGGCGGTGAGCACGACGGTGTGCCTCTTGGCGGCGGCCACAGCAGCGATGGCGCGGCCCTTGAGGTGGTCCACGATGCGCGGCGTGCAGCTGGACGTGCTGTTGCTCGTGCCGTACCCCAGCTGCCCGTGCGTGTTGCACCCCCACGTGAACACCTCCCCTCCCCCCGTGAGCGCCGCGCTGTGCTTGTTGCCCGCCGCCACCGCCACCACTCGCTGCCGCAGCGCCGCCACACGGCGAGGCGTGGCCTGCGAGTCCACTGCCGGGTACCCCAGCCGCCCCTCTGCACGGCACACATGGTGGGTGGGGTGGTGGGGGAGAGGGTTGAGTGACGGGGGGGGGGGGGGGGGGGGGGGGGCAAGGGAGGCAGAAGGATACGGGGCAGGGCGGAGTAGAGAGCACGTGGCGTTGGAAGCATGGACAAACTCGAAGGAAGGGAGGGGAAAGCGTGAACGAGAGGGGGAAGAGAACAGGGGGGAGGTGCGGGAGGGGGGGAATGGGAAGGGAGGAGTGTGGGGACGAGGATATGAAGAATGCAGAGCAAAAGAGTAACGTAAAACAGGACTCTTCGACACATCTAACTTCCATTTCCTCCCTATCCTTTCTCTCCCGTCTGCTCCCTCTTCCCGACCCCTCCTCTTCCCTCCCGTCCCGTCCCGTCTCGTCCCGTCCCTCCCCTCCCCTCCCCTCCCCTCCCCTCCCCTCCCCTCCCCACCCCTCCCTCCCCTCCCCTCCCCTCCCCTCCCCTCCCCTCCCCTCCCCTCCCCTCCCCTCCCCTCCCCTCCCCTCCCCTCCCCTCCCCTCCCCTCCCTTCCCCCACCCGCCCCCGTGCCGGCCCCCCCCTGTGGGTGCGCACCGCGGTTGGAGCCCCAGGAGAAGAGCTCCCCGCTGTGCGTGGCGGCCAGCATGTGGTGCTTCGCCGCCGCCACCACGCGCACTGCGCGCCCACCCAGACCCGCTGTCACGCGCCGCGGGAGAATCACCGCCACCTGCCCACTGCATGGGCGGGGCGGGCGCAGGGGGGGACGGGTGTACAAGAGAGTGGCTTAATGAACGAGGGCTGACGTACACAAAGCACACCGGAAACTGCACGAGGAACACAAGCGAGCACAGATCAAACAACGATATCGTCCCTTCCCCCACACCCTCTCCCATCCCAGTCCCCCTCTTCCTTCCCCATTACCCTTCCCTATCCCCGTCCCCGTGCCGTCCCCTTCCCTCATCGCCCCGTCTGCCCCTCCACCAGCACCTGTGCACGTCGAAGTCGGGGTGGCCCAGGCGACCGCCCCGTCCGAAGCCCCACGTGAACAGCTCGCCGCGCGCCGTCACCGCCGCGCTGTGGAACCGACCCGCCGCCACCGCCACCACTGCCGCCGCCGGGCCTGCTGCCGCAGATGCAGGTGGCGGGGTTGCCGCGGCTCCGGACGCGGCACTGGCCCCTTCGTCCCCGTCGCTCACACTCGCAGCAGCATCGCCCGGGCTGGCGGTGGCGGTGGCGGTGGCGGTGGCGAGGCCGTCGATGCGCGCGGGGGTGCGCTGAATGCGCGTGGAGCCCGTCCCCAGCTGGTAGTTCGCGCCGTTGCCCCACGAAAACACCTCCGCCTGCACCTGCGCGCCCACGGGGACGGCTGCGCCCCGCAGAGACGCGCGCGGGGGCTCGACGGCGCAAAGAGAGGCGGAGTCGCGCGGAAGGGCAGAGGGAAGCTCGCCGACGAAGGGGAGGGTGTCGGGAGCTGTGCGGAGGGGAGGAAGGGGTGGGGGAGGATGAGCCACGTGGACGAGAGAGCAGGCGACTGGAGACGAGAGAAGCGGAGGGAGGGAGAGAACGAGGGCTACCCCACGCGCAAGGCGTACATTGGTGCAGCGGGCGCGGCAGCAGGTGCAGCGGCGTGCGGCCCAGCGCGTCGAGCGCGGAGAGCGAGGCGTTGTGCGCGAGCAGGCGGCCCATGACCGCCCAGTGCCCGAAGTGACACGCGCGGTGCAGCGCCGTCCACCCCGACTCGCCGTCCTGCGGGGCGGGACCGCGGAACATATCGTGTAGGGGACGGAATGGAACGGATCGACAATGAGGGCGCATGGTGACGGCAAGCGAGCGGTCAGCGCGTGAATGACAGCCGCGCGGTCACAGAGTGCTGGGAGCTGGGAACATGCGATAAGCCTTCCATGACGACCCCTCATTGCGCGTGCTGCCATGCCGTGGCCCCTGGGCCTCACCGCGGCGTCGGGGTCGCACCCCAGCTCCAGCAGTCGCTCCACCGCACCCACGTGGTTCTGCCACACCGCCGCGTGCAGCACCGTTACCCCACGACTAGACCGCAGCCCGCTAAGCGCCTCGTCGAGCTTCACCCGCGCCGCTCCCGCTGCTGCCGCGCCGCCGCTGCCAGGATCGGAGGACCCCTCCACGCTGCCCGTGCGCTGGCGCCACGCGGTGATTGCGGCGTCGAGTGCGGAGACGGATCGCCTTTCTATCGCCGCAAAAATACCGGCAGGAGTGCCAGCGGAGAGAGAGGAGGGCGCCGCGGAGGATTGAGGGTGGAGGGAGGAGGGAGGGTGTGAGAAGGATGTTAGTGGGGAGTGGGAGGCGGGCGAGGGTGACGAGGCTGCGGACAGGGAAGAAGGCGCCGGATCGGACTTAAACGACTTGCGAAGGGCCGGTGACGTCATCTCGGTGGTCAGCTAGGGGGAATGAACGAGGCGAGAGGACGATCTAAAATGGGTTGGCGTTTGAGACGTGTCTACAATGGATCCGTCGCTCCCCAGCTCGTAGAGCCCTATCTAAGAGCCCTGATTCCAGGCAAAATCCTGAACAGCCGAAGTGGAGCAGTCTGGATATGGAAGGCGCGTCCGCGTTTTACCCTACAGATCCCTCGACAGCAAATTGCGGCGCAAGAACGAGGAACGTAAAAATGTCTGAGTGACCAAGACTGCCTGTCGCGCCTTTGAGTAGGCGACTCGCGAGACGCCACCTACGCTTGGCACGGCACGGCGTGGGGTCCTTGGTGTTGAACAACGCTCGAGCGCTGGGTAGGGTAGGCGGTGGTGGCGGCAGAGCAGCACGAGCCATGGGTGTCATGGAAATGCTGGATCCCAGGCAGCCTCCTCTGCCTGTTGTTCAACGCTGGTTGGGGTGGGACGGGGGAAGATTCGCGAGAAGCGCAGGGTTGCAGCAGTGCAAGAAAGCTGGAGGGGGCGGAGGGGAGAAATGGGATGAAGGCATAGGGTGGGGGGGAAGAGCACGGGTGGTAACCACAGGGGGACGCGGAAACGAATATGCCGAAAAGGTGCCGCTCCACCTGATGGTAGCCGATAGTAGCTACAAGGGACAATTTCAAGAACACGAACTTGGTTTGAATAAATATACCTGTTTTAAGTATATAGTTGGTGGTAGATGTTGATAAAATCCATATGTCGCTAGAGCGCAGCGAAAGGCTCTAGAAAAGGTTAACGGCAATCCTGCAATGGTGAAATGGTCACTCAGAGGTAGCTCTTCTGGACTGGCACTTGGCACCAATGCAGCGGCTGAGGGTTAGCCGGACAAAAAGGTCAGAATATTGTAATAATCGGAAAGCACTACATTGAGTTTTTAGATAGGCAAATGGCATACAGTTACCGTAGCGCCAACTGTATAACAGTTGTTGCGATATGGATTGTATGGGTATGCATTCATGTACGGAACAGGAGCTAAACACTGTTGGGCTGAGAAAAGCCCTTAGGATCGTTTCAAGACTAAATGTCAAACTTATGACATAGTATGTGTAGGCTGTAGTGGGGTAGTCAATATAGGGTACAAAACTTCTAGGTTTCCTACTTGTACCCACCTGCTTGCTAATTCCATCATTCCTGGTTTCTAGTCTTCACATGGTTTCTGAGTAGTGGGAACGTTTTTTTTTAAGGGCCCACCACGAATTTCCTACTCTGCCCAAAGCACGCTGTCGCGCTTGCCTCACCTGCGCCGTCGCGCGCCCTGCCCTACTGCTGCCTGTAGCAGCGCTGCCCTAGCGGCCCGTCGCGGCCCTGACCTAGACGCGCCGTCGCGCGCCTGCCCTCCCTGCAGCCGCCGCCGCGCGCCTGCCCTCCCTGTAGCCGCCGTCGCGCGCCTGACCCCCTCCCCCCTCAGGGTCCTGCTCCCTCAGGTGTGTCCCAGGTAGACGCTGTCGAGCCTGTCGAGGTAGCGGTTGACTCTGGTGGTGCTTCTGGGGGTGCTGAGCCTGAGCGTGTGGAGCCTGGGGGTGCTGAGCCTGAGCGTGTGGAGCCTGGGGGTGCTGAGCCTGAGCGTGTGGAGTCTGGGGGTGCTGAGCCTGGGGTTGCTGATCCTGAGGGTGTGGAGCCTGGGGGTGCTGAGTCTGAGGGTACTGAGCCTGCGGTCGCTGAGACTGGGGTTGCTGAGTCTGCTGGAGTTCCTGCGGGGGCCTCGTCTAGGCGGGAGCCTCTCTCCCCACCGCAGCTGCGCGAGTGGTTTGCTCGCCGCTGGAGACTCTAGCGAGGTGCTGCTGGAGCTGGAGCTGCTGGAGGTACTGCTGGACGAGCTGGAGCTGCTGGAGCTGCTGGAGGAGCTGGAGCTGCTGGAGCTAGAGGTGCTGCCGGAGATGGAGCTACTGGAGGTACTGCTGGTCTGGAGCTGCTGGAGGAGCTGGAGCTGCTGGAGCTGGAGGTGCTGCCGGAGCTGGAGGTCCTGCTGCTGCTGGAGCTGCTGGAGGTACTGGAGCCGCTGGTCCCGGAGGTGCTCGTACTGGAGGTACTGGAGCTGCTGAGGCTGGTGGTGCTGCCGGAGTTGCTGCTGGAGGTGCTCCTGGAGCTGGAGCTGCTGGAGGTGCTGGAGCTGGTGGTACTGCGGGAGTAGGAGCTGGAGACCCTGGAGCTGGGGGTACTGGTGCTGTCTCTGCTGGTTCTGGAGGCGCTGCGCGGCCGCGGCCGTACTTCGTTCCGCTTCTTCAGCAGGTTCTTGGCCTCCCGTCCTCTAATGGTCCCACTCTTCCCTTTCTGTGTCCACAGCCTGCCCAGCCGCAGTTGCGGCTAGAGCCAGCCTCTCCACTGCCTGGTCCTTCTCCTTACTCTGGGCCGACTAGAGGTCTTACGGAGCGTCGTTAGCCTGAGTCTCGTCCTGCGTTCCTTGAGTCTCGTCCGTCGTCGCCTGTTCGCACTGTTCGCACTGGTAGTCATGTCCCGCGTCCGCGTCCTCCTCCTGTCCCAGGCACGCACCAGATGGCACTTTGTCCTTCCACTGCTCCACTACGCGTCCCTCTGCCGTCTCCCCCTGCGTCCTCTCTTGCTGACGGTCCGGACCCGGAGTCTGACTCCCTTGGTGCTGCTAGTCCTACTGTCACGCGTCTCCTGGCCTTTGTTGTCACTGACCCGTCGTTTGAGTCCACTGCTGCATCTGCCCTAGTTGCTGAGCTTGTTGACTTTGCTGGCGCCTGTCGTCTAGACTACGCCGCTAGTCTTGTTGCTGAGTCTGAGTCTGAGTCTGTCTGTCCTCCGTCCGTCGGGGGTGAGTGTGCTCTTGGCACGGATGTCCTTGAGGACAGGCAGGAGGAGTTTGAGTGCTTTGTCGCTTCTTTTCCTCATCTCGTGTCCATGCTGATTGCCCCTGAGGGAGACCCGGATGCACTAGACATCCTGACCCCGCGCTCTTACGCAGAGGCGATAGAGGGTCCCTACTCCTCTCAGTGGCAGACAGCCATGGACGCAGAGATGGCTTCCTGGAAGTCCACAGGCACCTACGTCGACGAGGTTCCCCCGCCACTGGTCTTGTGACCTCTTGTTCTCCCCCACTTTGCCTATGGGGTTGTGTCAAACTTATATGACATAGTCTGTGTAGGCTGTAGTGGGGTAGTCAATATAGGGTACAACACTTCTAGGTTTCCTACTTGTACCCACCTGCTTTCTAATTCCATCATTCCTGGTTTCTGGTCTTCACACTAGGGACTCAGAGTAGTGATGTATTAGCGGAAGCGTATTGGTGAGCTTTGGTTGAACCACCTTGCACTGGTATGTGAGAACAAGATAAGTTGATAATAACAAAGAGATACAAGCCTTTATATGATTACAAGGATACGAAGATTTTAACTAACTGTAACTGCTGTTGCGGTTCGATACAGCGATGACTCGGGTAACCGCTCAATATCGAGTCAGTTATGTGTCCTTGTTGTCGCGCTGCCTTCGGCAAGTCACAGGTCGTTGACCTTTGACCTTCAATCAACCTCTTGCTGTTGTCTCTTTGTCAACCGCTTTTGGTTGACTCGCTGTTGCTTCGCTTTAGTTCGCTTCGCTTTCGTTGTAGTGCTCTACACATCAGAAGTGCGAACTATATGTTTCCAACACTCCCCTTCGCTTCTGGAGTGTCGTCACCTTCGTTACTCGTGACGTGGCCTTGTTTAGTCAGCAGCATGCAGTATTCGAACTTTTGCTTTCCGAGTTTCTTGGCCAAGTAATCTGCTGCCATCTCGGACGTGGGGCAGTAAGTTAGCTCGATTCTTCCTTTCTCGATCTCGTCCTTCACGAAGAAATATCGCAGGGCGATGTGCTTCGTTCGGTTCGCGAACCCATTTTTATTCGCTATGCGAATTGCCGATTGGCTGTCGCAGAAGAGGGAGAAGCTGGGTAACTGGGCCAGCTTTGCTTCTTCCAATAATTCGCGAAGGTACAGTCACTCCTTGGTTGCTGAGCAGAGTGCTATGTATTCAGCTTCAGAAGAAGAAAGAGCAATTAGTTCTTGCTTGCTCAACTGCCACGAGATAGGACCGATGGCCTCGAGTCGACAGATGTAGCTGGTGCGCGATCGCCTATTGTTGGAGTCGTCAACGTGATCAGCATCCACGTAGCCGATTAGTTTAGGCGCCGTGGTTCCGGTTTTGTGGTAGGTTAAACCGATTGTCAGTGTGCTGACGAGGTAGTGTAGTGCGCGAACAAGTTGTGCCATGTGCTCTGCTTCGGGCTTATTGAGATAGGTGGCGAGTTGGCTCGCTGAGTATGACAGGTCCGGTCGGCAGGTAACGGCTGCGAAGAGTAGGCATCCCAGCTTTGGCTGGTAGTCGCGTATGCCGGCAGATCCGAGCGGAGTGGAGGCTTCCTTGTGATTTCCGGCGGTGTAGCGGTATGGCGTGGAGATGGTGGCTGGGGTTAGTCCAAAGCGTTTTGCGATGGTGTCGGCGTATTTTGCGGCACTAAGGTAGATCGCATTCTCCGCCTTGTATGTTGAGTCCCAAGTATTGCGTTACGGTGGAGGAAACGGTGAGTGTGAGGTCCCGCTGCAGCTCCCCTTCGAACCAGGTGATAAAGCTGTCGGTGGAGCCTATGTAAAGCAGATCGTCCACATAGACGATGAGTAGGATATACTCAGTGGCTTTTGTGAGACGGTACATCCCCTGGTCATGTGGCAGTTGGCGAAAACCGATGCGGATTAATCGGGCGTGTAGGTATTGTTGCTGTGAGAATAAGAACGAGGAATTGAATTGACTAGGAATGAGAAAGGTACAAGTATGAAACCCTAGAAAAGCTGTACCCCCTATTGTCTACCCCACTACATCCTACATAGGCTATATCATATATGTCTAACAGTTGCCACAGTCTCTCGGTGCTTGCTTAATGCCGTACAGGGACTTTAGCAGTTGGCAGACTTGATTAGGGTCTGTGTCGGACCCGTGTGGTTGCTCGACGAAGATCTC